GAAGGAATATTTACGCCAAGGGTTAGAAATAGAAAATCAAAGGAATTACCAGAAGAAGCAAAACAAGATGAGAAACGTCAAAAAATCCAGCCCGAACAAACTAAACCATCCACCTCGGCAGATCAAATTGAACAATTATCGGAAACCGGAAAAATCCAACTTGAACCTGTTGAACCACTTACTCCACAAGAAGCAGAAATAATCGAACAAACAAGGAACGAAGATGAAATAATTAATGAAGTACTACCAGACCCACCAGAGGATGAAGAACCATTCATTGAAATTCCACCCGAACCTCCCGACGAAGATTCAACTATGTACGAAGACTGGGACAAAGACTCATTGGACTCAGAAAGCATAAATTCTAATGAACCCGAAGACATTGATATCATATTTGATGAACCACCGCAATATGAATTTCTTAAAATAGTAAAGACTAAAGAACCATTATTAATTCAAAAAAATAATTTAGTAGTATTTTTGACATACCAAGGTACACCTGCGTGTGAAGGAGCCAAAGAATTACAGGAAGCAAATTTATTACCAGACATCAGTGAAATTATTCCTAATATACCAAAAGTAGAACCATATGAAAATCATTACTTAATTTTTGTTCCAATTCAGGAAAGGAAAACAGCTCCAATAACCGCGAATCAAATAATTACCGGACTAAGAATTATAAAAAATGTTTTAGACGAATTGAATCTTTCCAGTTTTGCTATTAGAGAATCTCCATCATTAGGAGATGTATCATGGTATTTAATAAATAAGAGAATAGTAGAATTATTTAGCGATTACAGAATTACAATAACATATTGTCAAGGAAAATTAAAGGTACCTCCAGAAAATGAAAGATTAAGAATAATTATAGAAACTCATAATTCAATAATTAATGGACATAAGGGTGTAACTAAAACCCTCGAAAGAATTAAAACAAAATATGTATGGCCAAATATGAAAACACAGGTACAAAATTATGTAAAAACATGTGAAATCTGTCAGCTTAAAAAATTAACTAGAGTAAAAACTAAACAACCTATGATAATAACAGATACACCTGGCCATGCATTTGATAAAGTAGCTATAGACATAATGGGACCGTTACCCATTACAATTACAGGTAATATATATATTCTGACCATGCAAGATCTGTTGACCAAATATTCCATAGCTATACCTTTAAATAATACAAGTTCAATTTCTATAGCTGATTCTATGTTAAAACGTTTGATCTGTGTCTTCGGCGCACCTAAAGCTATTCTTACTGATCAAGGAGCGAATCTAATCTCTTCAATTATAAATTACATAGCAAAGCGATTTGGCATAAAACAGTATAAAACAATTGCGTACAACTGATCATTGGAAAGATCACATCGTGTTTTATCAGAATATTTAAAAATAGAAACACAAAAAGATAGAGATTGGGATACATGGTTAGATCTCGCTATGTTTTCATATAATACTAGTGTTCATGAAGGAACTAAATACAGACCATATGAATTAGTATTTGGAAGAACCGTTAGAATACCAAGTTCCGAACCAGAAATAGATGATAGAGTAGAAACGACATATTTTGAATACCTAAACAATTTATTTGAAGTACTAAAAGAAGTACAGACCGCGGCACACCAAAATCTGGTAAAGGCAAAAGAAAGATCTAGAAGATACTATGATGCGAGAATTAATATTCAAACGTTCAGCCCTGGGCAATGGGTTTACGTATTAAAAGAACCAACAAATAAACTTGATAATCAATATACAGGCTCATATCAGATTTTGGAAATATTGCCAAGACATAATTTAAAAATTAAAATTAAGGATAGATATAAAATAATTCACCAAGATAAATGTAAACTGGCAAAACAGATATGATTTACAGAATGCACGCATACCTCCTGATTGTCATCGCGATAATTAATACTACTAAAGGCCTCATCGGATACGCCTGTGGAGGACCAATCATGAACCACACCACGATATCTTTGCTGGATATGGATGAATGCAAATTACCTGGACCAAACGTGAAAACTACAAAAACCCATATACAACTGCTCCAACTCTCTGGGTACGACCACACAGAAATTACCCAATGTCAAGTGAACGTTAGAAGAATCATACTGCATTGTGGAATGCATTCCCACATATCAGCTGTACAAAATGGTTTCACCGAATACATCCATGAAACCACACGAGATTCATGCCAGAGACTACACCAAGAAGGAATTTTATTTCTGGGCACTGCAATTTTGACAGGAATAGCTCGGAATTCTACAACTCATCGTACAATAACGCTGGCTGGAACTTCAGAAGCAGACGGAACTTGTTATGGAACCACTTATTCAGATCCTTATGGATCATGGACCAACGTAGTTGTTCAAGACAACATTGAAATTAAATTGAAAAACCAAATGGCAAGAATTAAAATGGATTCAGGAAAGATAATCTTACCATCAGGAACAACATGTAACTTAGCAGCTTCAACCTGTATTGACTATGTTTCTGGGAACACGTATTGGAAATCATTACCAACCGATACTTGTGAATTAAAATCTTACGATGTACTTTATGAAGGATTGGCCGATAAAATAGAAGAGGAAACAGCGGCACAACATCCAACTATTTACAGCTTAACCACAGAAAGCATCACATTTGCTTTAACACAGATTGGAGAACATCGAATATGCGGATATTCAGTACTCTCAACAGAACATCCAAGGTTATACATCATGGAAACCACTCCAGGAAATTCAATTATAAAACAGAAAGGACCTCACGTAGATAATCTGGACATATTTACTTATATAAATTCAAAATTTATTTACGTGGAAAAACACGTAAAAACCCAATTAACATCATTATATCAAAGTATAGTTTTACAAAAATGTGAATCAGAAAATCAAATATTAAGAAATGCTTTATCACTAATATCGTTAACCCCAGAAGAATTTGCATACATAGTCGCAGGGAAACCCGGATACATTGCTGTAAATGCAGGAGAAGTAATACACATTCTCCAATGTATACCAGTAAATGTGCAAGTTCGGAAAACAGAAGATTGTTACAATGAATTACCAGTAACACATAACAATGTAACATATTTCTTGTCGCCAAAAACAAGAATTCTAACAAGATATGGAACTAAACGTCAATGCAATCCATTATTACCAACTATTTATAAAATCGATAATCAATGGGTAAAACTTACACCATCCCCGATGATTACAGAGAAACCTCAGAAGACGAAGCCAATTTCCGAACTAAATTGGAATTATCTAACTCCAACTTCATTAGCCACAAGTGGTATTTATTCACAAGAAGAATTACAACAATTACGAGATCATATTATGTTTCCAGCAGAAAAACCAGCAGTAGTACATGAGATTGTTAGAGAAATGACCAATGAAGAAACAAAAACCATCTCAATTAATGGAATATTGAACGAACAAGCAATCGAGAAAATTACAAAATCAGCAATTAATAGGATTTGGGAAGGATTCATGGAATTTGGATCAATAAGCGCAGCTCTTATAGGAATATTTATTATTCTCAAATTTATTAAAAGTCTTATTGACATTGTAATTAATGGATACACTTTACATTCTATGTATGGATGCAGTATACATATATTGGGAGCCATATTTTCGTCCATCACATATCTTCTGGTCCATCTCCATGGAAAAGCAGAATCAACCTACGACATGGAATCCAGCAGTCACAATCAACCCAGCGCATCCGAGAAGGAAGTAAACAAGCCAATTACGGTCCAAGAACTGAAAAATAAAATAGAAAGTATGAAAGATTAAAAGAAAAAGGGAAATCAAAATTATTAATATGTACAAAATAAATTTTGGACATTAGCCCAAAATTTATTTTCATAAGGAGGGAGGTGTCACATCCTTGCGTATGTTACGTATTTTAAGTATAACTTCATATATTATTTTTTTTTTTTTC